TTGTTTTACTACAGTGGACAATTTGAACTGTTGTTGACGATTTGATTTACACTTAATCCAGTTGTGAAAAGTAACTTGGCTGCCACCTTGTTTTGCGCTAGTCACTTCTTTAGCAGAAATTAAGATTTTAAAATATGACACATCAGTCCACCATTTACGCATTCTAACGTTTGTTCTCCCTCTTTCTTTTTACGCTCTTTAACTTAAATTACGTTTTCCCGATTTCTTGGCGTTCCAAGTGGGACATAGAACTTCAGTTTCAGTAACGGCGTTGTTTTTTTTTTATCTGGGATGGGATTCTTAGTTTCATATCCAACTTTTCTTCCTTAGTGGTCGATATTTAAAGGAGTGCAGAGCCTGGAAGTCGGATCCCCATCGCATGTGTGGTTGGCGAGCATATTAAAGGTGAACTAAAGGTGAAGCAAAAACTTTAAAATATGCTTTATAATCATTCTGAAACTCTTAGTATTGTATGTAATAATCCTGTTTTCTAGAGCCTACAATTTATGATGATAATCACTTCTGAACGCTTAGTGTTCATCACCAAATGTTATTAGATTACATAAGACTACATAGCTAAGTTCAGTGATCCATCCATTTTTTCCTCATGATATTTAATTTTATTTGATCTGTAACACACTGAAAATAATAATAACAGATATTTATAGGCAATTTGTAGAGTTTTCTAGAACAGAGCTTCTAATATAAGTTATGAAAAGGATATTCTTTCCACATTTATATCTTTATAACTTTTAAGACAAATACATTTAGCGGAAAAATGTACTTTTCGATGATTTCTTCATCAAGTTCTACACTACAGTATCCATAATAGTTAAAGAATAGTAGTACTGACCAACATGGCTGTTTTATAAACAATATCCAATCACTGAGGTTGATAAATGAAAGTTAAAAAGATGTGAATTTGATTATTATTATTACCTTGGGTTTCGAGTGGAACATAGGGCTTCAACAACACATGTCCACCTTTTATTTCCTGCCATCGTCTTCAGCTGGGTCCACGATTCCCCATAATCTCTCATCTCCTCCTCAACACATGATCTCCTCCGTGTTATCCTCGCACTGATGACCTACTCTTTTCTTCTCTTTTGGATTCCAATCGAGAGATGGCCTTCATTGGGCGCGATATAATTCGACGGCCTTATCGACGTTTGCCTGATCCATCTCCATTTTCTCCTACATATCTGTTGAGGAATCAGCTCTTGGTTGGTTTTTTCCCACAGCTTCTTATTACCGATTCTTTCCACGGGCCATTTGATCTTCAGTATGCAGCCAGCTCAGGTGGCAGCTGTTGATGAAGGTCTGCAATGGCCTGTTGGAAATCCTTTTTGTGACACACAGTGCAAGTTTCTGACTAGTATAGAAGAACCAACTTGACACTGGTGTTGAAAATCCAAATCTAACGGTTTCTAAACTGGTTTCTGGTTGATGAAGGCATATCTTGCCTTTCGGATTCTGGCTAGATATGACATCTTCCTCTGTTCAGCTTTTGGTTGAAACGATGTTTCCTAGATGAGTGAAAGAAGTCAGTAAACTCTGTAAAATCTCTCTCACTGGCGGGGATTGGTGCTCATTGTTGTTGTTGCTGTTGTTGTTTGGTTGGTTATTGTCAGCACCTCCGTTTTCTCTACATTCACCTGGAGTCCTGTCTTTGCTCCCAGACAGCCTCTTAAGCCGGATTGTTGGTTTTTGCCTGCCAATAATAAACATATATCATCTGCGAAGTCTATATCTTCTAGAATCTTCTTGTCCGTTCAATGTATTCCTGCCTTCTAACTCCCAGCTCACAGTCTGACACCTAATTTAGTCCACCAAAATTAAGAATATCATAGGTAATAATGACCAGGCAGCCTTGTTTTACTGCTGTATTCACTTCAAAGGCTTCGCTGAGTTTCCGTTGTGGATCACCTGACACGTAGCAGGCATTGTCGTATAGACAACTGTTGAATGAGGTTGACAAAGATTTCAACACAGCACGCCGTAGTGTTGAAGAAGTCTTCAAATTACTTCTCTGTCAGCGCTGTCTGTCGAAGGGCTTTCCGAAGTCAATGAAGGAGGTTGAGGTAGAGGTTTGACTGTCATTCTATGGTGATGCGTAGAGTTGCAGTTTGATCAGCAAATGATTTACCTTTCCTGAATCCATCTTGTTCCGGTGTGGCTGGCAGAGTTCTATATCCAGTGCATCCTTTGTCCTCTCCAAGATGATGCAACTTAGTATTTCACTTGGAGTGGAAAAGAGCATTATTCCACGCCACTTCTTGCAGATTGAGGCGTAAGTCACCTTCCTGTTCACCTTGATGAGGTGGACATTCTTCCGGCCGGTAGGTACATTTCCTTCTTTCCAAAGTATGCATAAATATTACACTTAATTGAATCTTGGATAGAATTAAGAAGAAAACTAATACAACAACGAAAATGTAGATAACTAGATAAGTAATGACTTGTGATTTAGAGATGGGAAGGATAGTCAAATTTTTTATATTCATTTAATGAAGGTCAAGCTATGGATAGTGATTGCTTAAATTGTTTTCTGAACACACCGGTCCAAACTCTTCAGATTGGTCCTGATAGCTTCAGTTATATATAGATGTCGGACTCATAAATTGGGACTAAGTTTACTCGGAGTAAGGCAGATACGGTTTAATGGCTTATTAACATCAACTTTATGTTCAGGAATCTATAACGTGTTCTAAATCAGAGGTAAGAATGGACCTTGTTTGTCTATTGTTTAACCATGTGGGTTGGTATTCAGTAATCCCACAATGAACATGCCTAAATGTAAGTCCAAAATAACTAACACTGCATAAATTTTAGAACGAGCCAGATAAATACAGAGACACAGTCCTACATGGAAGTGGGTTACTTTAAAATTCTTTGCAATTCAATTATTAACTTAGAGGATTTGCTTCATAACTTGATTACCTAATTCTAATTCACTAAATATTTGTGTGCACAAATGATTGGACGTTAAATGTGCATATTGAGGCACGCATGATTAGTTATACATGTATCGATTAACGTGAGAAACTTTCAAGGTCATCGTAAATTTAAAAATGTACGCCATGACTGATAATATCACTAATAGCAGTAAAAGTATAACTAGTAATAATAGTGGCCTTAGATTTATGTGAAGTTTCATATTCTTTATTAAAGTCAATTTTTCCGTGACAAAACTGATAATATTGCAAAAGTGGAAATTATTGGTAAGTCGATCATGATTATTTTCCACAAAATTTACTATTATTATTCTATTATGATTATTGCATCCTTGAGTTTTGAGTAGAACATACGGCTTCAGCAGTACATAAACATTGAATATGGTTATCTGCATTCCTTTTTTGTTGGCTTCACGACTTCGTAGAAGCCTTCATCCACGGGATCTCCTTAATGTCATTCTTGGGGACCCGGCTCGCTGTTGTCTATTTAGGTCCCACCCTACGGCCTGGCGCATAATTTCACTCAAATGTCTCCTCAGTGTGTATTTGATCCATCTCGGTTTTCTGCTGCATATTTGTTGGGTAACAGGCTGTTGAGTTCCTCTGACTGAACGCTAGGTAATAGCTAGTGTCATGAGTTTCTACAGAAATGTACATTATTATTATATTATTGTTTCCTTTAATTCCTAGAGAAACATGGGTCATCAGCGTCGCGTCTCCATTGCGTTCGGTTCTCTGCCAAAGTTTTCACTCCGCTCCAAGTCTGCTAACATGCTTTCATCTCCTCCTCACATGACCTCCTCCAAGTCACCCTTGCACTGACGACCAACTCACCGCTTCCCTTTCGGGTTCCACTCGAGCAATGGCTTGTCTAGTGATGTCATTTGACGGTTTCTTCAGAGTATGACCAATCCATCTCCATTTCCTCCTGCTTATTTGTTGCATAATCGGGTCCTGGTGGGTTGGTTCGCTCCCAGAGATCTCTGTTGCTGATTTTTTCTGGTCATCTGATCTTGAGTATTGAGCGGAGACAGCTGTTAATGAAGGTCTGTAGTTTGTTTGAGATGCTCTTTATGACGCGCCAAGACTCTGATCCGTATAGTAACATTGACTTCACATTAGGGTTGAAAATCCGGATCTTACTTTTGATACTGAATGTCGCTGATCTCCACACAGACTTGAGGGTAATGAAGGCTTGTCTTGCTTTCCCGATCCTCGCTTTGAGTTCTCGTCAGTTCGCCCTGTAGTTGTAGTAGAAATGTACACAGTGACATATATATGTGTGTACGTCGGTGGCACAGCGGTTAGGACTCTCATCAACCATGCATATGGTCCGCGTTTCGATTCCCTGCCGATACACACCTGATATCAATGTTTGGCCTGGAAATTTTGGGGTAACGATATCACATGCTGAAAATCCCATACTTGTACCTAAAATACGGTGTGGAACCAAGCTGCAATCAAAAATTTGAAAAATATCAAGTATCCTAGATCCTATGTAATATTGATAATCAGTAATGAATGCATCCGTGGTTCATTCTTAAAATATTCATCAATTATGCATGTGGTTCGGGCTCGATTCACGAGCCATGCACTACTAAACATTGATCCTCGCGAAGAGGTAGGGTTTAGCATGAGCCCAGCAACCTCAACCTCTAAAAGTAACACAGGTGCTATTTAAAATCTAAGACTCAAGCCTGAAGCTCCACATTTCGGTAAGAATTTAAAAGAATTAAAACATTTTTAATCCACGAATTGAGGTTTCATAGGTCACAAATACTTGGTCATTCATAACCATACCAACGTGTTTATCCGTGTTAAACATAAACAAATAAAATATGTAAATCAAGATATGTTATTCAAATTCATTAGGTTAATCATGTGACTTTCAGCCATAAGGTCCCAAGTGAGAATGCTACTTTAGTTTGAGTGACAGGACTAACAAGCATTGGTGTTTTATTTTCAGTGATATTTTATTATTTCATGTTTTATTTTTAGATATTAGTTGAAAATATTAGTAATAACTAAAAAATACTTTAACCAGTCATGGATCCTCATTATGAAGACTTGTGGGCTTTTGAAAACATTGAGGAATCTTCACCTGATACATGTTTAGGAAAAGTAAGTAATGCCGTATATGTTATGGTAACTTTCTTAAACATATATATATATATCTCGGGATTTCATCATAGGCTGACGTCGGTTACAGGATCGTTGGATAACATTGGTTAGCGAGCGCACTACATTGTGGATTGTCAGAAGTTGGAATTCATAGGCTGGACATTGGGTCAGGTCCCAGTGGCTTAATGGTCCACAAGCTAGATCGCCTTGTAACCAGAAGTTCCTGGATTCGAACCACGGTGTGTGTGTACTGCTGGAACAGAGTCCCAAACTAGGCTGATGGAACAGCTGTCCATTAGTTCCAGCAGGTTTTCCAGTGGTTCTATAACCCATATCAACTCATGATGAAATCCTACAACCAATCAAATCCCTAAAAACTAACAAATGAATGTAAATCTCTCTTGAACTTTAATTCTCCTAATAGAAATTCTTTCCGAACTGACAATAAGGGAATAAACATTTGCAACGTAAGAAGATCAGTCATTTATCTTTTCATCAGTTACTACTATTCTTCCGTGTTGCTACAATATTATCACCACTAAAGTCATAAAGCGTGAGGTTTCAAGGGTACTGATATATACTGTATACTTGTTATTCGTCAGTATTTGACAAAACTCATCTTAAAATCAGCCTAATTTCTGCAGTACTAAGAATTGATTTTTAAAAGAATGGATACTGAACAAAGAATACTCTTTTCGATAAATTCATCATCAAGCTCTACAGTTATAAATTGCCGAAAGCATCGAAGCACCGCATGCTCTAAACAGCAGAAGCTATTGCAATTCGCCTCAAACAACCAGTCCTCTGTGTTCAAAAGAAGCAGGTACAGCGAGCCCCCACTACCGCCCTGGTCTTCAATAGAGACTATAAATTCATGAATTTGTAATATTATCTTTCCTAATTTTTCTGACATTCACCTTATTTTATGTTGCTGCTATTCAACGGTAATCTATCGATATTATTGATTCGATGTTATTTAAACATTAATATTGTTCGTAACACTAATTCATTCATTCACCATAATGTATATATGACTGTAGAGCCTCATGATGAAGGGGTTATCGGAAAGAGTATTCTTTGTTTGCTTATTAAACAATAGGCTAACATAAAGTACTTGTGCTCCAAGATTTGCCGTATTCATTCCAGCAATGGAAAGGCTTAGAATTCTGAACGCGGTAAACAAAGAAGATTATAATATGAGCAAAATCTACGCGAATTATGCATCCAGAAGAAATGCTTGCAACCTCAGTCCCTATCATGATCTGCTTTGGAAGCTAAAAACACAAAGCCTACTCATTTTGACCTTCCTCAATTTATGTGTTTAATAACAATTCATTTCCTGAAGCATGGCTACGTCTTTAACAAAATCCATATTCACAGTATTACTACTATAAGTACAGATTACTAAGGAAAGTGAATTAAGTCAGTCTACAATTCTGTCAATCTATATCAAACATGTAACCAGTCAAATCCCTACAAGTGCCTGGCTGTATACAGGAAGTTATTGGCAATTCTAGTGAGGAACTGTAACTATCAGTGTCCACCAAGTCCTCACGTAGGAAAATAGTTACTCACCTGTGATAATAGCTGGCGGTTATGACGTATGAAATGGCAGAAGTTGAAATTTTTAGGCCATTGAATCGAGCCTTATTGGCTGACTAGTGTACAAGTTCGCCTTGTAACAAAAAGGTAAATATGAGTAAAATGAAAGAATAAATTAGCAGAAAATTCATAAGCACTTTTGATGTTTTTAGAAATCAACTTCAAACTGTGTTGTGTAATACATATGAAGCAAGAAATGAATAAAACGGTGTAAATCAATCATTTTGGTTTTAGCTTTTAAATTTATACATTTTACTATCTTATATTTATTATCGGTTAATTAATTAATTTATCTAGACAAAAAAATGGTTAAAAATACCAGAGAATATACAATTATTATTAACAATATTATCTGTATTTCTTGGTGTATCAATTGGTCTATTAATTCGATATAGTATAAGTGAAATAAGTTCACGTACTATAATACTTGTTGGATTCCCTGGTGAAATATTAATGAGTATGCTGAAAATGTTAATTATACCATTGGTTATATCAACTTTAGTTGCAGGTAAGAATTATTATTTTTCCTATTTTAATGATCATGGAATTTCTCGTTGCTTATGTAATAAATTACACAGTTTCACTCTGTTCTCTGCAGTCATTTTAAGTTGACTTCATGAAAGCTTAGAATCCTGCATTTCCTCATTAAAAGATGATCCTCTTCTTGTCACTCCTGGACACTCTACTCATCGTTATTCATTCTGGGTAAATTAATTCTCAAAAGTTAGAAATAATATGCTCTGGGTTCATGTCCTATTGCCAAAATATTTCACGAGCTCATCTTTCTAACCCGCATGTTTTGAGTTCAGTTCCCATTGACGTCATGAGCGCGTCGATGGCACAGTGGTTAGGACTATCGCCAACCATGCACGTGGTCCGAGGTTCGATCCCCTGCTGACGCACACCTGATGTCTATGGTCGGCCTGCAAAATTTCGGCTACCGATATCCATGCTGAAAATTCCATACTTGTACCAAAAATACGTTGTGGAATCAAGCTGTAATAAAAAAAATAGAATAAAATAAAAAATAAAATCTTTGGAACAGGACGAAAGAGCTTTCCAAGTAGTATTCCCTAGTTTTCATTAGTTCTGTAACTGAAGTCATTCCTTTATCAAAACTTAAAATCAATCGAGTTCATGCAAAACTTGAAAGTATCTCCATACTAGATGATACTTAGGTCTTTTTCTGTTGTTAGTGGATAAGGACACAATTTGAGATTGTTTGGTGTGTAGATAACACCTGTGAAATATAAGATGATGCTGGAGAATTAATCTACATCGACTTCTAGCTTAAGAATTATGGAGTTGAATGGAGTTGAATGTACAGATTGTTGTTTTGCTTATGTTTCAATTTTGACAGGATTATCAAATATTGTCTTCATTACAAATTACTTAAAATAATCCTAGCATGTCTAAGGAAAAGTTCAAAACAATATTATTCGTCATAATGTATGCCTTTATGCAAACATTCCCTCAATACTACCGAATTTTTCATTTATACTATACGGACTTATTATTAGTGATATTATTTGTTTTCTCAACATATGCCTCCACCTGTTTCATTTAACATATTCGTTATCTCACTATGATCCTCTCATTCCAGTCTTAATATCTCAACTGTTTAACTCAGACCACTTTGTACTAGCCACTCACCTGACACCTTTTATAACCTTGAATTAATTTGTCAATTTTCCTAACCCACACTCTGCAATTCTATTAAAAATGATTAATCATCACCATTGTCTCCCGTTTTACAATATTTCTAATCGATTTCTGCCTAGCACGTTTGTCACACAAATATGAAAAAAAAAAAAAAAACCTCATAACTAGTCTGTTATTCTACGTTAAAAATGTATCCGCCGCATAACTGGCCTTTATTGTAACGACCACAAATATTATATTTTATAATTGTAAGAACCTGAAGAGAAATTATTGAAAAGAATATTCTTCGTTCAAATTGACTTTTAATTATCTTTACGATTGAATTTTTGTGTAGATAGGTCAGTGCAAGCAAGTTTCTTCAACTGTGAATATTCTCTGCAAAGGAAAAGATCTTGACTCAGAATATGTAGATGATTTAGCACTTTTGTGTGGAGATGATTACTAAACTAAGTGTTGTTAGAACGTAAACCACAGAAACGTGAATAAATTTAGCTTGTACTTCATTCTGTAAAATGTACGATAATACTTTTCTGAATAGGAAGAGAAATGTTCAGATGTATTTAACGATTTTGTAAAATTTGATCACTCCAAATGGACCGACTACAGTTGAGTTCATCTCTGAAGTCTGTGCATTATACGACCATTCATCAATATGGAGTTTGTGCTGTTCAGTAGTCCATTGTGTCCTAATTAGCAGTTGTGAGACATGGCCCCCGTAAGTAGGTAGACAGTCAATCAGTGGCTCGTATTATATGATCTTTCATGATAAGTGATATTTAAATCAAGCGTGAAGTTTTATGTCAGGTAGATAAGTGAACGAATCAGCTTCATCGACTGATTTATCTGGGATACATGTTACACGTCCTTAGCCACCGCCTACTACACCAAGCAATGCTAACTGAAGTTGGAAACGACTTACAGTTGTCCAGAACAAATCATTACACCTATCTTTAAAGTTATTATCTGTGGGATGAAAGTCATTCTACTAGTCAACTGCTGGAGTCTCTTGGTGATATGACTCATGGTTGTTCTCAGGATCATAGATATATTCACTCCTTACAATCTTTTGGGAATCTCAAAATCTCCACTAAAATCTGTATTCACCTACTATAATATCATTATTTCCCTATTTTCTTCTTTTATGTATACCTTTCAGAAGTTTGATTAGTTTTTCATTCATATTCAGTCATTCCTCCAAACCTTTGTACCACAGCATTTATCTCGTCATTAATTCTGTATGGCCTTTTGGAATTTCAGTTGTGAATATTTATACCGCTTTCTGAAATAAATGTATTCTATCATTTCTAAATTTTTTTAACTCTAGGTTAGACCACAGACTGATATCAGTTAGAGAACCACTGAAAAACCACCAGGAGATGCCGGACAGTTGTTTTGTCAACCCAGTTTGGGACTCTTCGGCAGTACATACCTACCGCCAGGGTTCAAACCCAAGACCTTCTGGTTACAAGGCTAGCTGGCTTGTAGACCATTAAGCCAGTTCAACCCGATCCAATGGCCAGCCTGTGAATTCCACCTTCTATGAAGTTTCTTGAAGTTCTCGTAAGAAGTTGTTACCAGTGGAGTCCATCCTATCTGGAGTGAGGACAAATGCTCACCAGGGATGACACTGACTTGTAACTGGAAGGTCCTAGGTTCGAACCCTGGTGTTGGGTGCGTGCTGATGAAGGGTCCCATACTAGGACAACTGAAACAGCTGTCTAGTACTCCCTGCTGGCTTTCAGTGTTTCTCTAACTGATGTCAATGCGTAGTCTAACTCCACAAACTAATTCTTGAAAATATTTTAAAATTATCAAGAGTTAATTTGCAGGGATTTGATTGGTTAAAGAATTGATTACAAACTGACATCTTGTAGCCAATGAAATCCTTGAAAACCAACGCTTAGAAAATAAACTGATGTTCAATAGCAACTGACCTCATACAAGAAATACCTGGGGTTCTAGTGCGAAGTTATAACCAATCGTATCCACCAAGACAGACAAGAGGACAGTTATTCGCTAGCGACACTGGCTGGTGATTGAGCTAAATATATATCACGAAAAGGTAGAAGTTGGAGTTCATAGGTTGTGAATCGGATCGCGTCCCAGCAGCCTAATGGCCTGCCAGCTCGCCTTGTAAGCGGAAGGTTCTGGGTTCGAAACTTGCTGGTATTTGAGTACTGATGAAGAGTTGCAAACTAGGATGAAACAGTTGCCTAGTACTCACTGTAGGCTTTCCAATGGTTCTCTAACTGATGTCAGAACTTGATCAATCCTATTTTGAAATTATTTGTGTGACGTTTTAAGGAAATATAGTTAATAAAAAAAGTAGACACAATCTACTTGTACCATTATCAAATATGGAGAGATCTTGAAAATCATTTTCCCAGTTTTAAGCTGTTTATTTTTGTCAGCTATCCTAGGAAGTTTAAAGTATGTTAGAGCGTCAAAATGATGATGAGGTTGTGAAGTGAAACTATGTTTGCATTACTGATGATTGAATAGTATTCATTTGACTTTCTTTTTTCACTCACTCTTTAACTTATTTTGGTTCATAATAAATAGTGTACATTGAAAAATGCATTTAGTGTTTTTAAAAATAGTTTTTAATTACTCTTAGCTATAACAGAATCATACAAAATCAACTCCAATACGTTGTTTTTTTTAAAATAAAAAAGGTATGGCTAATCTTGGTGGTAAAGCTGGTGGAAAAGTTGGCGCATGTACATTAACCTACTATATAACTACAACATTTTCAGCTGTTATACTCGGTATTATCTTGGTAACATCAATACGACCTGGATATAGTGGAATTAAAAAAGAACGTGGTAGTGGAGCACTCAGTAAAGCGCCTAAAGTTGGAACATTAGATGCTATTTTGGATTTATTCAGGTTGAGTTTTCATTTCTTCTTTTAGAAAATATTTTTATTATTCACATCTAAGGATTAATAATTTGATTCTTATTACACTTTATTAAAATAAAAATGTACACCTAGAATAGTGTTATATTCCATTTATTAAGTGGTGTAAACTTCCGCTATTATAGTTTTGACGTCATCATGAATACTGTGTGTAGCATACTTATGATTAGATTACTCCTATGAGTTACTGATACCCTGATGATGGTATCTACTATAACAGTGAAACGTTCACCGATGATAATCTTAGCCCAAAAGAAAATCCTATTTAAACAGAACAAACTCTGAAAGTGAAATGATTTGTAGAATCCAGTTCAAAGACTCGTCGTAGATATTATCTACACAACAATTATAATTTAACACTAAATTCTAAAGGACACATGCATTCAGAGAAAATATTTACATTTATTAGGTTATTCAACTAACTGGTCTTTCTTAGCAACCAGTTTTCACCATCGACACTTCAGAAGATGTCATCCTTTCGGAAGAGCGATCAATAATTCATGACACTACAGAGACGAGCAAGCTGAAATGTATCACTGAAAAGAAATTCAAAGAAAAAAACACGTACTGAATTGCACAATGATAAATGGAACTAATAATAAAGCTATGGAGTAGTTCCAAACCAATAATGAATTATTTTAACTTGAAGATGTTTTACACAGCCTATTGACTATCAGTTTACAAAATTCATCCTGAGTCACAGACAATCTATATTGTAGACAGGCAGGCTGAACTCCCGAAGTGAATATTATCGAATGTGCGAATAAAATTAGAAATTTAGTACTCCATAAGTGGTAGATATTTTTGTCATGCAATTAACAGCGTATCAGACACAACCACTTGCGCTGAAAATTCAGTGGTCGACTGAACTCTGCAGGAAGAATTACTCATGGGTTGTAGGTCACTTCAGCTAGATGGTGATTCCTTAACTGAATAGTATAGTTTGCATAGTTAGCCAAAAGTGTATATCAGGGAAATTCGTCTTTTGAGAACAGTATCTTGGACTCGAATGATTACTGTCTCACTTGTCACTTATACAAGGCGATAAACGTTCGCCACTACGGTTATTTTTTCTTTAGAAACATGAGCATTAACACAACATGCAACTCTGTATCCATCTGTGTTTAAGTAGGATCACATCCACCGATAAGATTCAAGATGAATTCTCGAGACCTGCGAACAACAAGAGTAATATGCATAAAGAGGACATCACTAACAATCGATTTTACACTTTAACCATTTAATAATAATAATTTGCTTTATTCCAAAACAGTATTTGTGATACAGAATAGAATTCTCAGCACTTTACTACAGTATTGCTTCCACTTAGTACATTAACAATAAGTAAAATTCTACATAGATTAAGGAAATCTCAGTTCATTATGACAACAACTTATTAGCATGTCAGTAGCAAGGCCACAAACTGAACAGAGTGTTTGAAGGATTCTAGAAAAGTAAATGCTTGCATATTTACTGGAGTAAGCAGAAGAAAGAAACAATCAGCACATAACAGAGAAAAAAGAGAGAGAAAAGGAAAAGAAAGAAAGAAAATGTTGTACCTATGAAAGATATGAATTGGAAAGACGAGATCCATTTGTTCTACTGGCTATTTAATAAGTTATAGGTATGACGTCTAATGCTTTCTTTATCCCACAGAACACGAGCTAAGTAGGGTATAGTTGAGTTTTTGTACTTCCTAGTGCTAGCGTATAGTTTTCTGTATAGGCTTCTGGTTCTGCCTGATGAGATACAAGGGGAGAGTTGTGAATGAAAGGTAAGGGTGGTGTGAGTTAAACAGATAGAATGGATTTAGCCCATTTTTTACATGAGTTCATGTGCCTGTCAACGAGAATATTACCAAGCTGGTTAAGCTGTACATTGCTTACCCTGCTGACAACCTTTAACATCCTGCGTAATAAGGTATAGTCGTTCTTCAGTAGCCATGAAAAACTAAGGGGGAACAATAGAGAGTAATAGACAGAATGCGAGAGTTAACGAATTGTAGGAGAAAGGGTTGGGCTATACCAGAATGTCTTAACTTCTTGATGTAGATGGTGAGAGGGAATATTTTCTAAGAAATCATCAAGATATGAGAAGACCAGGAAAGATCAGCAGATAGAATGACGCCTAGGTATTTAATTTCTGGCGTGGTTTCTATTTCAGTGCCATCAATGTTGCACACCTCGTGAGTGCTAACCAGTTTGTTTAGGTCAGATTTATGCCTAAAGTTGAAATTGACTGTTTAGCATTTGGAGGGGTTTAAGGTGAAACCGTTTTCTTTGGACCATCGGGTGACTTCTGATAAAAAGCCATTTAGTTTAGAGCAGTTACTTTGACATTTGACAGGCAAACATACAGTTAGGTCGTCAGCATATTTGGCAAAAATTAATGTCATTCGAAGATTTTAGGTCATGTAGAAAGAACGAAAATAGAAGTGAGGACAATATAGCACCTTGGGAGGAGACCAGCTTCAGTGAGCACAGCAGAGGAGGATTGCCTTTGTACACGGTATACTGCATTCTGTTAGAGAAATAGGAATGCAACCAGTTAACAGTTGTTTTCCAGATCTCCGTTGTACTTCTAAGTGCTTCCTATGCAATGCATGTTTTCATGTGTATTTCATCAAACTGAATGTAACTGACCACCACATAAAAATTGCTTACGACACGTTTCATGTATATATATATATATACATGACATAATACACTGATTGACATAGGTAGCTGGAGACGTCACTCAGCAATATATGGTTGTCAAAATGAGACGATTTTAACATCGAATGACTGTTTCTCACTTTTAGACTCGAGTTGATTAGTGGTTTACTTTGATTGACTCAAATCTGAGCCTGAAATGTGTGAAATCAATTAATTCTACATGACTAATCTCGCAAACTGGTGATACATAGAAAGGCTAAGCACAAAGCTGCAAAAATGGTACTCCAGTGTTTTGGAGTGGCTAACAAGTTCTAAACGATAATGTAGAGGATTCCATACAACTCAAGTCAATCTGTGTAACATATCATTTTGCCATTTCTCTTTCTTTCTTAATCACTATTAATGTTATCAAGCAAGTCATTATATTTTGACTTGAATATTTTAAATATTTCTAATTAAAAGTTTAGTGAGATTTTTAATACTAAAACTGTATGATGTGAAAGTGGAGATCTACATTCAGATGCATCATTATCCAACAATATCTTGATTATCTCGCTTATATTTATGGCAAATGACAAACGAAACTAAATTCAGTATCAACCGGTCTTCTAAATCAACAATCCCCAAATATGAATTTTGTCTTCACATAAATCTAACTTCTTTAACACAAAAATACCTATTTGCAGACTTGTCATTGCAAAAATTAAAGCAGATAAAAAGAATAATTTGGGAAGAACATACTTCCAAAGCCATAAAATGATGCTAACAGGTGTAACAAGCATATATATAACAGTCCGTTAGAGGAGTATTTCACTTAGGTAAGATCATCAATGGAATGACATAAATAGAAAGAGTTTCCCAGAATTGGACGTAGATTATCTAGTAATCCATAAAATAAGTGAAATATAAGTAACAAGAATAACAGATTATTTGTTTTTCAGTAATGTATAAGAAATTTATCTCTAACTTCGACTGTTTTTCTCATATTTCTTAAAAACAGATAAAGTTTCACCTTATACTTTAAGACAAGATGCAAAGTTCTGATACTTTAACCGAATATCAGGTAGTCGCCAGTGTTATGCGTCTAGTCGTTTCTTTAGGAAGAACTGAATCCTGAATCACCCAGGTTTGCAAAGTCTCCATCTTAATAATAGAGGCCTGATAGATTTAAGTCTGTACCGAACAAATGACTACATGTATGATACCAATTACTTACTCCCTGGTAGCCAGTCAAAGTGTCTAATACAGCCAGTTCAACGGGAGATAAATCACAGTCCCGAATAGCTCAGTGGTAACATCTTTGACCAACTGCAGCCCACTAGGTGACACCATTTCGAATCTCAGATAAGTTGCTTCCAGGTTGGATACGCTACTTGATGATGAGTGTCAACAAGCAAGTATCCTGGGTTCTAAGCTTCCTTCCAATTACGTTCCACCATTTATAATAAAATTTCAAAGTTTTATGAGAGAAATAATAAATAAGCCATGGATCTGAACTGAGGGTTTCTGAGGGCCAGGTATGTAGCCTGAAAATCCAGCTTCTAATCACATATATATATATAAACGGCTGACAAAAGTTTTACCAACCATAAGTTTGATATAAGACATCTCTAAGTTTGATCACCTGAAATACTGTGTTTGTCTTGATGTTTCATGAAGACACCAGATGAATGAGATATCATGGAAGATACAGATTAGGTGATTATGAGTTATTTCTTTCTGGAGAATTTATTAGTTAGGATGGGATATTTCATTCTAACCCTTATCCAATGCACGATTTATCTTTTTAAGTAACTCATCTTTCGTTATTTTAATTTTAGTTTGTACACTGGAATTTATCATGTAATTATTTTTCATTTAGAAACATATTTCCACCTAATATTGTACAAGCATGCACACAACAAGTTTCAAGTCGATATGTGACGAAGCCAAAGACAGAGGTGAGTGTTTTATTTCCGTTTCAAATTCATTTTTATACTTACAAGAATAAAACAATTGTTATCAGTGTTACAGTATTTTCAAATATCAGTTCTTGATAAAAACTGAGGTGATCTTTGAATCACATAGAAAGTTTTGTTCAAAGAACTCTGATGATGTTGATGATTCCAGCTCTATTAGGGTCACACTGATGTATTTTCTTAATGAGATGATGAAGTTTCTAAAGTCATTCACATTTTATTTTCTTATAAACCCTCATAATATGGAATCGTGTTAAACTAGAAGAGGGTGAGTGATCGAATCTGCTAGCAATACACAAAATCTGTTCCCAAGGCTATACAGATACAACTTACTGAGTCAAATTCAGAAATTTAATAGGAATTACAGTCGACAGACAGTAAACGCCTAACACTTTTAGTCAGATTTCTCCACATGCTATTGTTCCTCCCTTTTATTTAGCTAATTTTATAAATTGTAATTTCTTTGATGTCTTAGGTGATTAATGGTGAAAATGTAACGACATATACGGAAGTATTAGAAACAAAAATGGTCGATTCAACAAATATACTCGGTAAGCATCAGGTTTGTGTGACATTTGATAAAATAATTAACCTAAATGATTGTTTCTGTCTTCCACCTTCCGTTTGATTCAGTTAATTAATTTTTTTGCTAACCGACGTCAGTTAGAAGATAATTGAATCCCTAAGACAACTTCAAGGTTATTTCACCGTGGTTTGAGGCTCAGTAGTACTACTTACCTATGATGAGTGAATGGGGGGAAAAATTCAGGATCTTCAGGTTTTAAGGAAGGCACGTTAACCTTGAATTGGATAACTGACTGAAGTTCAAAGGCCAGTGAATTCCAACTTCCGTTAGTTCAGGACATTTTAGGAAAACTTATAAACTGCCAGTACAAAATCCTATGCAACAAAATTGAAAAACAGGGTTGATACAAAAATTAATTAATGCCAATGTTTCGAACAAAGACACAGATAAGAGACAATTCATCTACTATACTTTGTTATATGCTTATCTTCTGTGTACATGTTAGTCAAGCTATTGATTAAAACTAATTTTAATATGTTGTTCTACCGGATTCGACTGCCTTCAGTCACTGGTTTCATTGGCAGTGGGATCGTGGGTGTATATGGCTGGAAAATTCTAAACTATGATACAACAGTTGCCTAATACTCCTTGGTTTCCAATGTTTCTCATAGTTATTTCATTTTATGATTTGACTTCAGTTAGGTTTTGTACCAGTAAACTTGGAAGTTTAACCATAAGATATCCCTGAAAGAAAGAAGTAGATATGTTTCTGAAAAAAATATTTTTATAAATATGGAATCCCTGTCGACGCCAAGCAAAATCCTGAGTCGCATCATCCTGGAGAGAATAAAGGATGCACTGGATACAGAACTCCGACCAGAACAAGCTGGATTCAGGAAAGGCAAATCATGTACTGACCAAATTGCAACTCTACGCATCATCATCGAACAAAGCATGGAGTGGCAATCAAACCTCTACCTCAACTTTATAGACTTTGAGAAGGCTTTCGACAGCGTTGACCGTGAAGTAATTTGGAAATTACTCGAGTACTATGGCGTACCCCAAATATTCATCAGCCTTATTCAACAGCTGTACGACAATGGCATATGTCAAGTTATCCACAACGGAAAACTCAGTGAGGCATTTGGAGTAAACACAGGAGTCAGACAAGGGTGCTTATTATGTATCACCAATGATATTCCTAATTGTGGTGGACTGGATTATGCGTTAGACAGTAGGAAACGAGAAGACAGGGTTATCCTGGACCTACGTGAAGAACCTAGAAGACCTGTATTTCGCGCGTGGATGATTTATGCTTGGTGTCATACAAAATCGAAGAATTACAAACGAAAGCCGACAAACTGGTCGAAGAAGCAGCCGGCGAAGACAGGACTCCAGGTGAACATAGACAAGACGGAGGTTATGAAAATAACCAACCAACAACAGCAACAACATCCAACGTCAATCATCATCAAAGGGAGGGATTTGAAAGAGGTTACTTTATTCACTTATCTAGGGAGCATTGTCTCAACTACAGGAAGTCGGAACGGACGAGGATGTCAAATCGAGCAAGAATCGGGAAGGCGAGCGAGAAACACATTCATCAAACTGAAACCAATCTGGAAATCTTCGTCACTCAGACAGCATCAACAACAAAATTCGGTCGGATTTTTAATACAAACGTCAAGTCAGTCAGTTCTTCTATACGGATCAGAAACTTGGCGGGCGGGTCACAAAGAATATTTCCAACAGCCTGTTGCAGACCTTTATCAACCAACAACTGTTTTCGCTCTATACCAAAGATCAGATGGCCAGGCCGGAAAGAATCACCACTAAGAAACTATGGGAACAAACAAAACAAGAACCAATCGCCCAACAAATATGCAGGAGAAAGTGGAGATGGATCGGACACTCGCTGAGGAGACCGCTGGGTGACATCGCGCGTCAGGCCCTCGAGTGGAACCCGAAAGGGAAGCGGAGAGTGGGGCGTCCAAGGGTGACATGGAGGAGATCGTGTGAAGAGGAGTTGAAAGAGTATGGGCAAACATGGATGCAGGTGAAAAGTACAGCAGAAGACAGAAGTGGCAAGTGGAGACGGGCAGCTGAAGCCCTATGTTCCACTAGGAACCCAAGGGAGCAATAATAATAATAATATAAATATGGAGTCGCGTAGCTGCTTCCTAATTATTAACTGTTCTCCCATCTAATATCACTTTCTGAAAATATCCACCATGCAACCAATAAAAGAATGACAATCTTAGTTGGAATAAATTTAACCTCAAGAGATATGTCTCATAGATTAGACCTCCTTGCTCAAGGATTATGAGAAACGTTGATTATTAGCACAGGACAAATGATTTAAATGTTATTTTGTAAAAAAGAAGCTGATGGAAAACTAAAGTTCATGATATACAGGAAACTGACATATTCAAGTAAACATTTGAAAATCCATTCGGATCAGCCAATAAGAATGAGACTTTCAGTAATTTTAAATCTCGTAAACAGAGTTAGAAACATTACAACATAAACGATGATATAGGGAAGGAGATCTCCAATATAAAACAAATTTTTATTGGAAATAATTATCCGATAAAGCTTCTAAATAATATTCTCAATAAACAGGACGATAGGGAAAAACAGAAAACTGAAAGGTCTTGGGTGTCGACGGTAGGTATTCCATATCGAAAAGACACAGATGAAAAAATTCCAAAGAGTACTTGCTTCATATAATGTTAAAGTCCATTTGAAACCCTCTAATTCTTTAAAGAAAGCTTTGGTGAATGTCAATGATATGGTTTCCAAAATGACACAAAACAACTGTGTTTATAAGATAAAGAGTTCAGAATGTGAAGCATGGTGTATAGACAAAAGCAGTAGACAGGTGAAGGTCAGAGTGTATGAACACAGGCTATACACGAAATGTCCGCCTAGAAGAGTCTAGAAGAAAGATCAACCGTAGCAACGCGTCCTATAGACAGAGGACACAAGATCGATTTCGACAATGTCTAAATTCTGCGAAGAGGCTTTCATTCATGTGAAGAAAGGCTGACCTCTGAAGCCCTGCTTATTGCAACAACATCGAATGCAGTAAATAGGAGAGAAGGGATAGACTTATCACCACCAATATGGCAGACTCTAATGAAGCAAAACAGATAGGAGAAAAAAATTCAATCTTATATTATGACCAGTATGAAATATTAGGATGTTTTGAGGTGTTTTCCACGTGAAAAACAACATATACACAGTTATACAGACAACTTGATATTTTTTCTTATTCTTTTAAGTGCCCAGTGGAGCATAGGGCTTCAAGCTAGACCTTTGAAGTCTTGATAGCACTGGTACTTATTTTTACGGAAAGGGATTGCTAGTCTCATGCCCGAACTCTCCTCTTTACCAGTCTCATTACCGACTTAGCGAGGTAAAGGTGTGCGTCAGCCAGAGTTCGAAACCAGAAACACATACGTGGTTGGTGAGCATTCTAGCGCTATGCTACCCATGCGCCGGTCCCAGTGTCTGAATGGTATACGGGTTTGCCCTGGCTTTGAAACCAAGTGGGTGCCTACTGCCGATGAGTCTGACACTGGTCATTGCAAAGATGTGATGACTGTTTACATTTTTCTGTTGGTACAAATGTCTATCGAAAAGTGACCATCAAAGGAATTGACTTCACTTTATTTAATTTTTTACTATACATCTTGATGGTCATTAAAATCCGTATAATTCTGCTGAAAAAGCTGTGACTTTCACATCGAAACGTTCAGAAAAAATCTTATTTTTTTGCTATACACTCTGGGATTATTTTAAATAACTTATAATGAGTACCCAAAGAAGTTATTCGAGAGACACCTTCTCCACAATTAACTTGTAAATACTAAAATTAAAGAGTGAAAAAATACCTAGACTTTGTTATCTAAAAAAAACCTTTTTTAAATGAGCAAAGAATATCCCTTTCGATAATATAATCTTCTGATTCTATAATTATGTATATATTTATATACAACAGGATATTCTAGAATAGTCGACATTAATAGAATTGATGCTCTTTAAATAATATTGATTTGTTAATACTACAGTGGAGTTACAGTTCAAGAAAGATGCATAAGTTATAATAGGTATGCAAGTGTAATACTAAACAGAATATTAAGTAAAATTAATGGAGAGATTTACACAACAAATCGAGAATCATTAAAACCTTGGTGGCAGAGGTAAGGAAAGCGTATGAACCAACCAGCTACTCTTGGATGCTTAAGTAAGTTTTCTTAATGCAATATGCAGTAGACGAAATCTTAAGGTAAAGTTAAGATTAGTTGGTGTGCGGTAGATGACTTTCAAAGCCTCGTTAACACCTATCTTGTGTTCTGTATACACGGGAGGAGACAGAACAGAGCTATGAATGGATTATGTTTGTCCCTTACTTAATCACGCAGGATAGTACTCAAAAATCCAAGAAAAAACATGCCTAATGTCATGGCCTCAGCAGCTAACTGGCTACGCAGAAGCAGTTTAATTGATAGATACACATAGAAGGGACGAAATAAGGCAATATACCTCTAACTTTCAAACGCGGAATAGGGGTCGTTTTGAAGACATAGCATACTTCAGCAGCAATGAATGCTCTTTTTACCTCATTACTTATGTGCTGTGTTAATATCTCACTGACATTATCCCCAAGGAAGTGGAATTGTAAGAACAAGGGCTTTTTTGGAACTGTTGGTACTTTGGCTTGCCTTGAATTTTGATTCATATTTTTGTCGATGTATTTCTCTGGGTAACTGTTCTCAATCAGGAACTGTTTAATAATATTAAACTCTTCATTAAGACACTCATCAGAACTTATTGCTATTGCTCTGTGAAAGAAGCACTTTATTAGATTGCGTTTGTATTTCAAAGACAGGAAGCTGAGGAAGTGAGTATACTGACCAGTTGATGTAGGTTTTCCATCTGCCTTTATTCTTATTATACCGTCACCTTTTCTAGTTCTAAGGAGGTCTAAGAATAAAAGAGTTGAAAATAAATACTAGGTGAAATAATTTTTAATTTTTATCTTCATGGTGAGTATATCACTCACGTTTTATGAAGGAATGTGTGTAATGTGCCACAATGAGATTTCTTATGAGACAAAGTAAATTAAGGCAATCCTTATTTCTTGGAGCCAGGTGAAAAAGTTGGCAGAAAACTGGAGGCAATGGAGACGCGCAGCTGAAGCCCTATGTTCCTTTAGGAATTAAAGGATATAACAATAACTATTATTTCTTGGTGCTATGACTAATGGACACCTTTATATAATAGTAGGGATTTTACGTGCATGAGACATTTTATGGCATCATATATTACGCCATTTTTGGGAATATAAAAAGAAGGGCTGTGAATAGAATTATGACAGATATTGTACTTCATGAAGAAGAGAAAAATAGAATCATTTTACCATTCCGTAATTTTGTTTTGGTAACTTAGTACATATAATATACATGAGGTATTTGACTATGAATTATTTATAGACCGCGGTGTGATCTAAGGGTCAAGTTTCTTGTCACTAGTTAATTAAGATGTGTCTAAAACTTTGAGTAAGTCAAATAATCACATTTCACTTGATATGAATATTATTTACAAGGTAAAACTTGGGGACAGCTAGTAATTCTACATTTTAACACAGAAGAATGTAATTTAATTCACGATGACTTCCAAATGCCTACTTCATTTTAAAATAAGCACTGAAGATATTTTCTAAGAAGAAAATGTAAGCTCTGTAATTTAATGATATAGAGTGCAGAAACCAACCATCTGAGCAATACTCGAGTCATAAAAATTTAGTCAAACCTGAAACGTAGTCGTTTGTTTAATTTTAAAATTACTCCATTTGTAATATCTTTCTTAGTAAGTATATCGATAGCTGAATAAAAATATGTCTCCCGTAGTTATTTAGTTTCACGCATTCAACAGTACTAAGTAGCTAATACAAATATACACGTCGGTGGTTCAGTGTTAGAACACTGCCCGACCACTCAAGGATTCGATACACAGTCGGCACATTCTTTTACCTCATCTAGCCAGTAGTAAGCTCGGTAAAGAGGGAAAGTTGGACGTGAAGCTGGCAACCCTATCCCACAAAAAACACTGCTACCGAAAATTGATAGCTTTAGCTTGAAGCCCCATATTCCACTGGAGACTCAAAGGAGTAAAAATATACATATATAGGAGAACGCTCAATGATTTATACTTTAACGAGTATATTACTAATTGTGTGAAGCTATGATTCACTAGTCTAGACAATCGATTTCCGACCAGTAGACTATGGGTTTCAACTCCTTTTCACCTATTGGGAAGGATTAAAGTAGCCAGAAAAGATTTTATCAACTTTGAAAACTTTGATGTAGCCCATTTATAACTGCCCGAAAATACAAGTGGTTATTAAGCATTGTTACTAAGTACCTATTCAGATGTCTTGAATGACACTGATCTCCGTCAGAAAATTTCTTTTCAATCCTTTGTGTTCCAGTTTGACTTCATGCTTCGATCCAAGCTTCATTAGCAGTGGTATTGGCTTTACGGAGTGGGATTGCCAGGCTCATAACCAACCTTTCATTTTTTCTGGGCTTAATATTGACAAGATGAGGTCTTAGACTGCATGGCCTAGGAACAGAACGTGTAGCTGCTAGTCTAGCTGGCAAGCGCTCCGCTATTGTAACCACTGACGCAATACCATATCAACGGTTTAAAAGTATAGCCACAAATAACAAAAGTTTACCTTAGTATTATTTTAAACAAACTTTTTTTTCAAGAAACTCCCTCTTTATATCTACTTTATGAAACTGTGAAAACTTGTTATACATTAGTATGATATGGACTAATATAGAATAAATAAACAGTTAATTAAGTTGAAAAAGTTGAATTGCATTCAACTCTTAATGACAAACATACACATTCTCAATTTGAATTAAACAAACAACTGATATTGTTGATTTGATATATGTAGATTCAATGTCCAATATACGCAACAAACTCATTTCGACATAATAATATTAGTAATAATAATAAAAGTAATAAAATGATCAACAGTTGGATGATTTTAATATTTTTAAAAATAAAAGTTAGTGCGACATGTGCTAATCATGTCGTATGATAATTATTAAATGGGTGATGTAATATAACTGCAATGTTTTCATTAACAGTTTAGTCGCATAACTTTATTTCGAAAACACGATTATTATTATTATTCAATAGTTGGTCTGCAGGATTTTGACTGATTTCAGGATTTCATCATGAACTGACATGGATTAGAGAACCATTGGGAAACCAGCTGGAAGTACTGGACAGCTGTTTCGTACTAGTTTGTGACTCTTCATCAGTAAGCACCTGCCCCCAGGGTTTGAACAGATGGTCAACCACTACTGAATGTCATCAGCGAGTGTCTCTCCTCACTCCTGAGCTGCCATTATTTTTTTCATTTGATGATGATTTTTCCACCACATTTATTTCTTCATCTTCCTAACACATGAAAATTGAATAACCACATGATAATGACATAATGAGATTTGTTTGAGTAATCTCTTAGTGTAATTTAAATATGAAGTAAAAATCACGGATTTTTTCAATTCTATGAAGCTATTTGAAAATAAATTCCTAACCTTCAGTGGCCTTTAATAAATTTAGAGTCAGTTTCTTGACAATCAACATTAATCAGCGAATTACTGAAATCAAAAGGGGGTGGACAACTGTTTCCTTCTAATACTGGACTTTTCACGAATTTACTTGCGTTTTTAAGTATTAGTTGCTTGAGATTTGATTGGTCTCACTTTTCATGACGGACTAGTATCAGTTAGGGAACCATTGAAAATCTGAGTTTACCTGATAACTGTTCCTTCCTGGTTTGAGACTCTCCAACAGTGTCTTCCAGCCAGGGATCAAACTCACGGTTTACAAGGTGAGCTCTTTGGCCAATGAGCCCCTGTGAAGGAATGCGATGGCCCAATAATTCTAACTTCTGTCAATTCACGGTATTTTGCATGATCACCAGGTACTTGTTCTCATATCCTACCTGGTTGACTGATATCGATCTGTGATCAAAATACACCTAAAACTCAACCCAGAACCTTTGTATTACATAGTTAACCCAGTAACATTTAACCACTGGATTGACTTATATCCAGTGGCTCATTGATTTTAATTTTTTGTTGAATTGATGATTTTGTGGGATTCGTTTTTTTTTAAGTGATGATAAATCCTGTTTTATTCTAGATTTAGTTATAAACTGATGTGTAACACTAGTGCATTTTAGACAGATAGAAGTGTGCCGAGGCTTACACCGGTGTACTTGGAATAATTCGGCTAAAATTAGCGAGTCAATTCAAATCACTCAAATTTATTTTATCTTGGCTTTATGGTAATATCTAATGATGAGTAAGAGTCTAAATGATGACAAGTAAAATGAGAGTGTAAGAAAAAGAAGGTGCATACTGCATGCCCAAATTTGGTTTACCATCACTTGTTCAATGCACACATATATAAAAAAGAAATAATTTATATGAACAAAGAAAAAAGCAGCGTTTTCTGAAACAATCTTAGCACTGGCAAAAAAAGATTGCTTGGCATTTGCTAGCCACGATCATTGTTGTCTCACCGGTGAGATAACCCGTTATCTATTAAAGTATGCGTGTACTGCTTGCTTAACCGGTAATTCCGTCATTCTTTACCACTTTATTTTAAGGAAAATGTGAATAAAAATAGTTTGCTTTACACCTTATCATTCACTTTAGTCCATCAAATATCCACGTACATCCGTTTCATGCAAAACAATCCCAATAAACTCAGTAACTGGTTATTATTCAACAGAAACATTTCCAAAATATTAAATTTGATCTCAGCAATTAAACAATTTTAATTCATATTCTGTGACCGTAGATCACAGTCTATGCAGTTAAACTTAGAGTCTCTGCTAGAATGACCTATAAAGTCAGCCGTACTTACACAGTCTTCATCGTTATGCTTCGTCATAATTGGTTAGTATGAGATGTATCTCATGGATAAGTAAAGACTTGTCCATGTGAATAAATTAATCATTACTAGATTTCATCACTTATCATGTCGTCTATTTTATTGATCTGGATGACTGCGTAAATAAATTAAAAATCTGACTAACTGAGTTTCAACACATAACGTTGTACAGAAGTTCTACAGTCCAAGTTCTCACATTTTGTGGATCACAAACAGATACAGATAAGAGAAAAAGAGAGAGATTCAAAAGAACTGTAATAAGGAGAGATATTCAGGAGAAAGAAGGGTAACATGAAAAGGCACGACAGTTCAGTAGATGTAAGATTGGATGCATCTGCGTCAGTGAGGACGATTTTGAGCAATATCACCATATATCCTCCAGCCATAGGTTCTTAGTATCCCGAGGATTCCAACCAGGTAGTCAGCGCATCCCAACGTAGTTTGAACCAACAATCAAAAATTTCATGGAATGATGCCAATTTTGGTTTGGCCGCTTTCAAGAAGTGAGTTAGAAAAATCAAGACTGAAAACTGTATATTGGACTTGTCTTGAAGCGATCCTTAGCCGGCCGTAAGATCGTAGTACAGACACAATCGCGTAAACCACACTGCAGCAGATTTCATAAGAAATGCTTTGAAAAAGACAACAGTTTGATTTAATCAGTGATTAAAATTTTGTGGCATTAAAGTGAACCGTCGGAAAAAGAAATGAATATTTTGAAAAGCATCTTTTTGAAACCAATTATTCGTTTTGAAAGATACTCATATTCCTTCATTGTTTTACTTAGATGGTCTCACACAGTATTGTTGTTTTTTCTTCTATTTTAAAGGTCTTATAACATTTTCAATTGTATTTGGTTTAATTGTTGGACAGCTACGTGAAAAAGGCAAAGTATTACTAGAATTTTTCAGTGTAGTTGAAGACATTATTATGCGTGTTGTTCGTCTTGTAATGTGGTAAGCTTCGCATAGAAATTTTTTGCACTATACTTCAGTTATATTCATAAATTGTTTTTTTCTTAAATGCTGGTTTATTGAGGTTTGAATGATTCCAAGGATGATGTCAATTCAAGATTACTTAAATCTCCATAAACCAGACCTTAAAAATCAATCCATTACTCGGCAGTGACTGATTATCAGATGGACTTCCTAAAGTTTCCTGGAAGAAGTCGTGACCGACTGGTCATTAACGACATGAGATTGAGATGGTCCAATATCGCGAATCAGCAAAGGTTGAAAATCGTGAGCCACTGTATTCCGACTTATCAGCTATGTTGTGACCCTAGTTAGAATCATGCAAGCATGATGCTATAGGGTTGTAGACTCGGGCGAAACAGTTGTTGTCACGATGTCGTTTTCTATGGTCCTCACTCCATTATTCATTCATGATGAAATCTGCGTTGTGACTTACAACAGTACGTGAATGATCATTCGAATACTATTCCCACACTTAGAAGAAAACAGGACCTTTTTAGAAAGGCGGTGCTCCTAAAAATTACATAGTTAAATCACACGACCAATAAATTACTAGCTGTGTTTTGAATGGTCGATGTTTGAGAATAAAAATTCATAAACTTGACCCTCAATCTACGTTAGACTTAAATATCTGATTTACATGTCATGTAGGTAGGCACTGAGTCGGTGGCACAGTGGTTAGGACTCTCGCCATCCATGCACATGGTCCGGGGTTCTATCCCCTGACGACGCACACCTGATATTAATGGTCGGCTTGCGAAATTTCGGCTACCGATATCCATGCTGAAAATTCCATACTTGTACCAAAAATACAGTGTGGAATCAAGCTGTAATAAAAAATTATGTATCCTTCTACCATAACACTGTCTTGCCTCATTAGTTAGCAGCCAAATATTTCGTGTTTACTTCTACATGCATATCTTCACTCGATCTGGATGTAACAGACTGATCTAGTATGATTCTTTGGATAGTTTTTTTCATGTTGTGTTGACATTGTTCACTCGTATCTGTCTACTAATTGCATAGAGCAAATTAAATTGTTCTGAACAATTCATAGAGATTTCGTCATTATTTTTATTATCTATTCCTTGAGTTCCGAGTGGAAAGTACAGATTCAGGTGTACATCTCAGGTTTCTGCCGGTGCTTTTAGTTGGTTCTACGACTGCCCACAAGCCGTCGATTCCTCTTCATATGATCTCCTTCATTTCATATGAATAGTGTTAATTTATTGTCATTCTGCAGAAACACACAAAATTTAGTACCGATTGATTTATGTGATTCTGACAAAAGGCACTCACAGAAATTACAAAAGTTTAAAATAGCAGAAAAAATAGGATGATATGGCAAAAGGGAGAGAAAAGAGAATATGGAGTATAGACTAATTAGATTGTCGACAATTTAGACAGTGAAAATGTATTTAGCGTCAACGGTTTCAAGCTGTTTTATGCCCATAACCAACTTACTTTTTCCTAACTTTCTGATTATCTAAAACAAACGACTTTATTTTAATTCTCCACCTAACCATTCAATAATTCTTTTAAAACTTCATCATTCTACTTTTAATGATTGTGTCATACAAAGGGTGATAGACTTGTGTTCAGTACATTTCGCTTTTTTTGCATGGTGTAGGGTATTTGACCAGCACATAAAATGTTATATGTCAGGTAAATTCAGAAACAAGTTTTCTTTATTCATGATGAGACTGTTAGCAAATAGTCTATCAAGGTTGATTTGGTCATCAAAATAATTCAGGCGTTCATTAAATTCAAACACAATTAACTAGTTATCCAAGCGTTCTACACTCTTAGCTTGAAAGTTCTTTGAAATGTGTTTGAACTGAACACCCTTATTTGAACAATAAAACTAGCTTCATTAAAGTGAGTGAATATCAAATCTTAAGGTGAAAACTTTTCATTGACACACCCCGTGTGGTGTGCGTCGGTGGCACAGTGATTGGGAGTCTTGCCGACCATCCACATGGTCTGAAGTTCGATCCCCTGCCGACGCACATCTGATATTAATGGTCGGCTTGCGAAATTTCGGCTACCGATATCACATGCTGAAAATTCCATACTTGTACCAAAAATACAGTGCGGAATCAAGCTGTAAATAAAAAATAAAAAAAATAAATAAACGAGAATTAATGTAGGGAGAGGTTATAAAGAATTCTTGAAAAATTAATAATGAATACAAATACTAAATGATTTATAATTTGTGCAAAAGTTGGGCATGATCCAGATTCCGATCTAAATGGAAGGAAAAAATTCGTGGTAAAATCACAAATTGGTAGAAGTTAGAATTCAAGGGCTGGCCACTGAATCAGTTCCCAGTGGGTGAATGGTATACAAGGTTGTCTTGTAACCGGAAGGTCCTGGGTATGACCCCTATCGGTGTGTGCGCACTGTTGATGATCCCAAAAATAGGACTAAACAGCTGTCCAGTACTCTCAGCTGGTTTTTAATGGTTCTATCCGTGATCAAACTCAGAAATCGAATCAAATCCTTACACATCAAATCTTGAGAATAATTATAGATAGGTGAATTTTCACTACAGTACATATCGTAATTATCCATCTTCTTTTACAAATAATTAAAACAGTAAAACTAATATGACTGGGAAAACTGAAGCTAATATATGTGATAATAGTTCTGCTAATATGTTGTTGTTCATTTACAGATGATAAAATAGATTTATTTTAGTTTGTTTCTGAAATCGTCACTTCACACATACAACCCCTGAAATAAATACGGTATATGGTTGAATTTTTATATCTAGCCACAGGATCATAAATATCCGAATGTGATGTGTTCTGGTTATACGCTAATAGATAAGAAAACAAAATATGACACATGCGAATAAAAAGGATGTTTAGTACCTGACAAGAGATGACACTTTGGTCAGCTGTTCTTAATATCTTCCTTAGAAATCAACAACGTATAAGACAATCATCAAAGACAAGAGGAGAAATTGATATCATGACAGATAATATAAGATTTATTTCCTATCAAAGTGCCATTACCGTTACAAGAATCATAGGACTGGTCATTTCACGTCTAAAACTAAAATTAAAATTTTGCCATTTAGACTGTCTCAGTTTATGACCATTTGAAGACGAGGCAACAACAACTGAAAAATGAGAATCACTAGTTTCATAGGTTGTTCGTTAATTAATTAATTCATTGTTGAGACTTTTTTTTATAAATCTTTTGTTTTCGTGAGTTCGCTTGACCTCAAGTTAGAACACCTCATCACATTCTAAGAGTTAAAACTTGTGCATTTCTATTTGAATAATAAACTGCAGCACCTATTAATTGTTATTATTCCCGTGGGTTCCTTTTAAAATATAAGGCTTTAGCAGTACATCTCAATCTCATCCTGTTCCCAGAAGGCCCCATTAGCTGGCTCCACAAATGCCCATCAGCTTTCGTTTTCTCTCCCATGTCACCATCGGAAGATCAACTCTTCGTTTTCCATTCGGATCTCTCTATTGAGGGCCTGGCGCCAAAGATCACTCAGTGGTCTCCTCAGTATGTGCCTAGTCCATCTCCATTCCCGTCTACACATGTGTCAATCAACAGATTGTTGATTGGTTCGTTATCGGGGTTTATTGTTGCCTAAACCATCTGGTTATCTGATCTTTGGTATGGAGCGATAGCAGCTACATATAGAAGCACTGGTGCTGAAATTTCGAATCTTGTTCCCTGTGAAGAAGTTACTAACAAGAATTGAATGTAATCAGAACTACTTTCACATGATCACTAAATATTCTCTTCTACAATGCATTTTATTTATTAGACTTCTATTCTGAACATTTACGCTTATTTACACTTCATATTATTTAATTTCTACTTGGTTAGAATGGGTCTGTTTGGTTCACTCAGCTGTATACAGTACTAAAGTACGTTTGTAGAAACTAAGGGATAAGCTTCGCTATTCGTGATCTGGGAGTATATCATGCAGTCCTACACACGTCGGTAAATTACCACTGATGTATTCAGGCCAAAATTACTCTCATCATCAAAGACCACAGGAAAATTCATCCTACCATACATGAAAAATGTCTCTGAAATAACAGCTAGAATACTAAAACCGTTTGATATAGATATAACACACAAGCCAGTCAAATTGCTTAATTCGATATTATGCAAACAGAAAGATCCAACAGAAAAAGGAGATAAGATTAATACCATTTACAAAATAAAATGAATGAACCGTAACAGGCATTACATCGGCCAAACTGGGCGTCCCCTTCGAATCAGAATCCAGAAACACAAATCAGCCGTGAAAAGACACGATAAATATTCTTTCATATCAATTCATATAGACATTTATAGACGTCAGTTTGATTGGGATAATTGTTATAACTGTAGGGAATTGAATGATAGACGTTTTCACCTTATTCTGTATGCGCCTGAACTAATCTGTCTATCTGCTCGTCGTACCTTCCGACTTAGTCAAGCACGCAAATATCAAAAGACAAAGGCTGGACTGTGACTGTGTATTGAAGTGCAACAACGATAAAGAAAGCCATGGTATTTATACATTTTACAACAATATGGACAGCTAACAGCATTTGAAATAATTGACCTTAATAGCCAATAACAAAGTGTGTGAGAAATGATAATATGCCATATGTGCGACATTGACAGTCAGTAACAAAATGTGTGGGAATGATAATATACCATATATACAAAATTAGCAGTCACTACCAAAATGCGTGAGAATGATAATGTACCATATATACAAAATTAGCAGTCACTACCAAAATGCGTGAGAATGATAATATACAATATATGCAAGATTAAACAGTCAATACCAAAATATGTGGGATCCTATCAATAATGTCAAAATCTTAGACAGAGGAAACAACAAAAGTGCCAGGGAATTCCTAGAAGCTTGATACTCAAACGAATATGCAATTAACAAACATGTTAATATAGACCAAATGTTTTCATTTGACACTAGTAACTAGTATGATGAGTCTAGTCCTCTGATTGGTGTAGACTGAATTCTATCAGTCAGTTTGTAATGTGACCACCATTCTAGCTAGCTCACCGTCATGGTGCACATTGATTTGATGATATTAGATGGCTGAAGGCATTCAAAATATCCACTACAGTCCTACAGGAGGTCAATCGCCAGCCCGAATAGCTCAGTGGTAACGTCTCTGACTGCAGCAGTGGGTGACGCGGGTTCAAATCTCAGAAGGGACGTGAGTCCCTTCAAGATTGCAGATACGTCTTGCTGACCGTTGAGTGCCAACTAGCACGAAACCTAGGAGGTGTCCAAGGTTTCCTACCGATTGCCTCCAACCATCTAATAGACCAAATATACCAACTAATAAAAAGTAAATCATGTGACCAAAAAGTTTAAAATCCAAGTCAATAGAAAATGATCAATACATATGTAAAGATGGTTACCAGGAGGCGCAATTATATCATTCATGAAAAATTTAGATCATTTCACTTTGTGCTAAATATTGCACCGATGATATTGTCCAGAAGGATGACGAAAGCTCTGCAACTAAATCAACCAGCTCAGAGAACACTATCAATTGCGAAATTAGTCCGTAGATCCCTCTGTCAAATACGATGAATAAATCTTTGAGATTATTTCATATCTGGTTCACATTGCTGAAGGATATTAAAAGTGGAAGAAAGGACCACTAACCCCTTTCGGATTTCAGCCTAGATGAAAACTACTTGAAAGTAAATAGAGATGCTCTCCGATGAAAGTGTGAATCATACAGTAACTAGTTATTTAAAACAATTAGTCCCTCTTATATATTTGGATGCTGTTATTAGAAGACGGAAATTATCTGAAATACAATGTGATGTATTTAAGCAATGCATTTTGGACAATCTGATGATCGTACACACACACACACACTCACTTTTCAAATCAATTCATATGAGAAATAAATAAATAAAGGGCGATTAAAGGAAACAAAATGACAAAAGGGATTTGAGAATAACAAGAATGATTAACACAAAGTTTGGTAATCCGATCAGATAAGGATTACCAATGTAGGTTAAGATTAATAATCAGTTCTTTGTGAAAACACAAGGTGAGGGTGCGGGGCTTAATTTATGAATAGCTAGCGTTTAGTCTCGGCTGATCCGTTGACTTAAGTACCTTTCTACAGGAGATATGTAAATGACAATATTTTGATATGTTATAATCATGAAGATGCGAGTCGTGTATTAGATAGACTTAACTCTGTACAGAATCATATAAGTCTAACATGCGAAGAAGAAAATCTCAACCAGCTTACACTTTCAGATATACTTCTGAGTCGAAGAGACGATGGTTCAATAAAACTGTCAATTTACAGAAAGCTTACTTGGACAAGGCAATACCTTAATTTTCACCACTTCTGTCTATTGCAAGATAAGAGAGGCTTGGTAAAATATTTATTTAAGTGGATTCAGCGTATTTACCCGGCTGATGTTACAGGGAATGAAAATAAAGTACTGATGGATACTCTTGTTGTAAACAGATATCCTATAAAATTTTTAAACCAGTGTGGAAGTCAATTAGTCTTAAAACCTACAATCTATTCCGCATGCCAGAAAGATGTTTTCATCAAATTATCATACAATGGGGGTAATAAATAGAAGGATTTTAAGACAGAGATTAAATTCAGTCATCCGTAGGACCTGTTATGCAGCCATGCTTGTAATCATTGAAAAAGCCAAAAATATGGTTCATTATAAACCTCAAAAGTGTACAAGTGATTATTTCACATCCCACACTATTTACCAATGTACGTGTGTGGGTGTGTGGTCAGTCATATATAGGGAGGAGTAATCGCGCTTTACCTGTAAGGATGGGAGAGCATATTGAGAAGTTGTTAGGAAAACGGACAAACTTTGGAAAATCATTAGATGAAGGTGGCAGACTAACAGCCTCGTCTGTAGCCAATCATATAATCGATTTAAACCATAAGATTGACGTTGATATATAAGATCATCTATAAAATGGTCAGTCGCATTTATTAAAATATGCTGAGGTTATAGCTATTCATAAACTTAAGCCCCCTCCCCACCCGCGGTGTGTTCAATAACAATTTATTATTACTCTTAACCTACCTTGGTAATCCTTAACTGACTGGATTACCAAACGTTGTGTTAACCATTGAAATATAATTATATTTTATTTGACCAAACGTTGTGTTAATTACTTTTATTATTTATGTAATAAAAGAGAAGTAAAATCATAGTGAAAATGTAACTCTGGGCATGTTAGGGGTAGTGAATGTATGCAGTGCTTTTGAATGTAGACGCCCGCTTTCAGATCCATAATTACAAACTATTCAGCTATGTACATATGGCATATTCGAAGTCCTTTTATACGATATTTAGGGACTCTGTGCAGCACTGTGAATCATTCATGCAACGAGCACTCTATGTTCAGAGTTGACCAGGTGTTCAAGTATGGAGCTGTTAGTATTCTTCTTTTCTTCTCTGTCTAACGAAGCTGGACACTGTTCCAGAATACGTCTGAGAACTTGACGTTTCCAAAAGCGGTATTTTAAACTTAACGTTAAACTGGATTAACTATCTGCTGGAAAATGTGATGCGTAAGGTGGTTGCTTGAAATGTCTTCTTCAGACATTCAGAAAGGCAGTTTTTAAGAATTTCTACATCACTGTCACATTTGAACTCCAGGTTCGTGAAGAGGGTGTTCATAGGAACAATTGTGATTTTTTATGACGGAGGCTTTTCTTTTATGTTTTAGTCGATGCATCTTTATGGGTTCTCGTTCTCTAGTAAGGTTTCACGTAATGAATGTAACTCATTCTCTATCGTGTTTTCCGAACAGATTTTCCTATAATTCTGCTTCTCTTTTATCATTTAAGTTTACTATTATTATTGTTATTATTATTCTTATTATTCTCAAATCCATTTTGTCACATTTTGTTCCTTTAATTGCCCTTTATTTATTTATTTTTCACTGTGCCTCGGTGGCACAGTGGTTAGGACTCTCGCCGATCATCCACATGGTCCGGGGTTCGATCCCCTACCAACGCACACCTGATATCTGTGGTCAGCCTGCGAAATTTCGGCTACCGATATCCATGCTGAAAATTCCATACTTGTACCAAAAATACAGTGTGGAATCAAGCTGTAATCAAAATAAACAAAAATAAATAAATAAATGAACTGATTTGACAAGTCAGAGTGTGTGTGATCATCAGATTTTCTGAAATGTACTGCTCAAATACATCACACTGTATTTTAGATAATCTCCGTCTTCTAATAGCACAATGGAAAACTAATTAATTTCCATTACTGACTTTCATTTTGTTTTCACTCATTTTTTTGTATTAACTATTGTTAGGTTTGCTCCAATCGGGATATTTTTTTTAATACTTGCTAAAATTATTGCAATAAAAGATTTAAAGAAAACTGCCACTGGACTTGGTTTATATATGGCAACTGTTACTGTCGGATTAATTATTCATTTATTTATTGTCTTAGCATTGTTATATGCGCTGATTCTACGAAAAAATCCATACATCTTTTTCAAAGGTATGCTACAAGCCTTTTTGACTGCATTGGGTACAGCATCTAGTTCAGCTACACTGCCAATATCACTGAAGTAAGTGTTAATGAGATTGTAGGTTAATCTTCTTTCTTTTAACTATCCTTTGTGTGTTTAACATAATCTATATTAGTTGGAGAGTTTCCTCGTTAAGCTGACATCGGTTAGAGAATCATTGGAAAACCTGGGAGTACTACACAGTTGTTTCGTTAGAGTTTAGGACTCTTCCGCTCCCTTTATATGAATTAAGATGGAGCAATAAGAAGACTTAATTTATCTAAATATTGTAATGTATATTCGAGCGCAACACATTTCCAACAATCTGATCAAACATGGACTTGTCACAGGAGTCTAAGTATATATGTAAAAATATATGTAATATAAAGAGTTATGGGGTGAGAAAATTGACTTAGGTCAATTTAAAGCAACTACAATGAAGGTCAAAATAAAATTGGACATTAACATTAATAACATCACTAAACCAAAGAAGGGAGGTATTAGTACATCTACTCTGGTATCAAAACAACGTTTACCAAAGAAGGTTCAGTGTGATGACGAATTGTTATCCATGATAGCATAAAGGTGGGTTAAACTTCCTAATTATTGGGGTTAACACAAACTTTAGCCAATTTTTCACCCCCTATCTCTTTATTATTTTCATATATATTCCTATGACAAGTAAGTGTGTGCTCAGATTGTTAGAAATGTGTTACGCTCAAATACACGATATATGATCCAGAGAAATTACGCCTTCTCATTGTTTTGTCTATAATCAAACTTATCACTGGTGAGTAGTATGAGTTTTTATTTAGTTTAACCTGTTAATACTCCTTCATTTCCATTGAAATGTATTTCACTAAATGTAAATGTGTTCTCTCTGCTATGTAGTAATTACCATTCAATGTTTACACGGTATATGCTTTACATGTTTCATTTATGTTCCACTCCTTGTTGGCCAGTGTTGATTAAAACCCATTAATTCTGCAACTGCACATTTGAGAGGTGCTTATCCCTGATCTTAGATCCTTTTTAACATATCTCTGCTGTTATCTTATCAATCCACAGTAATACATCTTTTGATAGCATTCAGTTTAAACATCTTGATATTTGAAGTTTGTAAATATATATATATATACGTAAATGCTTGAAAGACAAAAATTTGAATGTGAGAATACCGACTCCAAGGTTAAAGGAACTTCTACTTTGATACATGCCGACCATCCAATTCTCATTCCATGGCGTCGTTTACAAACAGCAAATTGGATTAATTATGGCCCCACCATTAGGTTGGGTGCTGGGAGACATTTTCGTGGCAACTATGCAAAGTAGCCAACTGCAATTGACCATCGGCATTTTTTCTGTAAAATGCGTACGTTGATAGTGCTTTTATCACTGGTGACAACAAATGTGACCTAAGTAATGTTCTATAAATATCTGACAGTTACCACGTAAAAATAAGATTTCCAGCTGAAGCAGAAACAGGACAAGTTCGATTAACAAAGAAGTTTAATGGAACATGGAATATTTATTTTATTTATTTTTGATCACAGCTTGATTCCACACTGTATTTTTGGTACAAGTATGGAATTTTCAGCATGGATATCGGTAGCCGAAATTTCGCAGGCTGACCACAGATATCAGGTGGGCGTTGGCAGGGGATCGAACCCCGGACCATGTGCATGGTCGGTGAGAGTCCTAACCACTGTGCCACCGACGCACATAGAAAAGTCTACATAGTACGGTCAGTTGGAAAACGCTTACTCCTGGATACTCATAAACCTCAAAAGAAAATTGATAATATTGTTTGCGACAAGATTGTGAATCCCTGAAGAGGACAGTCTTTTGAAGAAGAAACAAAGTGAAAATGGTTACCTTCGACGTTTCGTAGATAAGCACATAAAACCCAAAATCAACAAAGAAAACCCCATATTTGTGTCCAAGTAGATGCCACACGTGAATGAAGAGTTCAGAGGTGACCTTCTGGCTGACATCCTAGAGAAGAGGATATCTAACACTCTGAAAAGATTCGTTGCCACTGCATTAGGACTGGTATCCGCGTGAGTCCTACTGTCACCCAGTAACTCTGAAAATGAACTATTCTATTTAATCACTTGTGTGCGTTTTTACCGCTTCACTTGCTCTCGTGGAACGAGATATGTAGGTACCTCAATGAGTCCAACAGCATTATGCCGCTTGCCTACAGAAAGATCACAGCAGTTTCAATAAGGAGTACTATAACTGAAAATATGCTCGGCAGAGGCCCCTCAGTATGTGAGTAAAATCTATTCAAATTTATCTACATATTAAAAAGAAGCATTCCAAAAACGGTATGCTTCCGAACATTTTGCCTTGCTCAGGTCTCATTGATTAGGATGGAAAACCTTGATTTACATAAACAGAAGAAATTTCTCCTTCTCTTCCTGCTACCTTGGGTATAATTCCAAGGTCAATAGTTGTAAGTGTTTTGTTGCTGATCCTGTTTTTCGAAATTTTCGTATGAAGTTTATAAACATAACTTTCTTAATTAACCCTTTTTAAACTTTGTTCACCTATCAAGTGATTTATTCTGACACTTATCTTCATGGTGTTTAACCAAGTTATATTTATTTTTTTTTGAACGTTCAACATACTACGCTACCTTAGTCTTAACTTACTGATCCTCAGCACCCCTTAGTTACAGTTTTGATTATTCATCAATGTTTTGAAATATCTTGATGATTCGAATACTACTTAAAGCTAATCTTTATTCTTGTGTAAAGATTCTGATTAACAACACAAATGTGAAGTCACTCAGTTCTTCTATATACATCAGAAATTTCTACTGCGTGTTATGGAAAACATTTCCAGCAGGCCATTGCAGACTGTCATCAACAGCTGCCAGCTGAGCTGGCTCCATACTGAAGATCATATGGTTGACCAGAAAAAATTGTCTACAAGAAACTGAGGGATAAAAAGCAACCAAGAGCCAATTGCTCAACAAATATGCAGGAGAAAGTGGAGATGGATTGAGCATGTGCTGAGGAGGCCATCGAATGACACCACTCACAATGCAGGCCGTCGCTCGAATGGAATCCCAGTGGGCAGCAACGAGTTGGGCATGGGTCCTACGGTGACATGGAAGAGGTCATGTGAGGAGGAGAAGGAGATGAGAGATTATGGGCAGTCGTAGATCCGGTTGAAGAGGACAGCAGAAAATAGAAGAAAGTGGAGATGTGTTGTTGAAGCCCTATATTCCACTCAGAACCAAAGGGAATAATAATAATTCTTGTGTAATAACATAGTCACTTGGAAGTTTTATTCAATAAAAAGAATTATTGAACTACTACAAAAAGCCAATAAAGCTTAATTATTCTAAATGATTGAATCAAATTCACAATTTCCGCAAATTAATTCACCTTGTGCCATTTTTACTTAGTTCTCTTTGTACACAGAAATTATTCAGATTACAATGGAGCTGATCTGCTTGATACCATGAGTGGTAATCATTCAAGTGTTGTTTGATTTGTTTCAGGATTTTATCATGAACTGATGTTACATCTAATGGGAAGCCGTGACTAGTGACTAGTGGCTTACGGCAGTTCGGGTATGAGAATAAATACTCGCCAGAAATAACATTGAGTAGTGCCAGTCGCGCCATATCATGAATTGGCAGAAGTTGGAATTCATGCACTGCTGGTCATTGGATCGGGTCCCAGTGGTTTAATAGTCTACGAGCTCGCTCGCCTTGTAACTGGAAGGTCCTAGTTTCGAACCCTGGGACGGGTGTGTATTGATGAAGAGTTCAAAACTAGGCTAACGAAACAGCTATCCGGCGCTCCCCAGATGGTTTTCTAACGGTTCTCTATCCCATGTCAATTCATGAAGAAATCCCGATAACTGATTAACTTAGTAGATTCAATGTCTGACAAATTTATCAGGAGTGCTAAGTGATCCTGTCTTCAAACGAGTTTATTTAACCCTAACTAAACCAGAAGACATTATAATATGGTTTATCCTCTCCAATAATAAATTTGATTCAATAAGTGATAAATCAGATTGGGTAGAACGTTGATGAGCCCATTCCATAACAAGGGAGTCTGTTGTCTTATATTTGGATCAATTCAATTTGACTGACGAGCAATATCCTTCTATATGGGTGGTACACAATTGCTCATATCAACCAGTCAGTAGCATATAGCATTCTGTTGTATTGTTTGATATGCTGATCACCATATTTAGTATCAAGGAGATCCACATCTCATATTGCGATAAAAATACTTTTAGTTTCCAAAGGAAATGCATGTAAATTTTCATCTTGAATTGCACTGTTAACAAGTAAGGTACACATTTGTTTCTGAATTCATTGGTTCAGTATACTTCAAAATTAAACCAAAATAAAAGATTCAGGATTTCGTCATAGATCGAAATCAGTTAGACAACCATTTGAACACCTGCAGGGAGTATCGGAAAACTGTCTCGTCGGCCTAGTTTACGAGTCTTCAGCAGTACGCACTCATCACCAGGGTTCTAACCCAGGATCTTCTGGTCGCAAGGCGAACTCGTAGACCATTAGGCCACTGGGATGCGATCCAGTGGCCAGTGCATGAATTCCAATTTCTGCCAATTCACGATGAAAGTAATTAAAAGCAGTATGACGAAGGGACTTCAGTCCGATTGTAGATTCGACTTTTGAAAGTACTAAACTTCAGGAAAACTTTAAAATTTTATTTGAAAACTTTAATCATATAATTACTACAGTTACCTGTCTATGGTGTAAGGGTGTCAGACTTTTCATCTCTTTAGAAAAGGCCGAAAAAGGCTAAAGAGTAAAATAACATTTTATATCGATAACTGTGTCGGTAGAAGTTTTCCGCCTGCATATTCTGATCCATTCTGCTGTATGCTTTCAATGATCTCAAACAAATATGTGGTGTTACATTTTGAAAATCAGGATATATAATCAGGTCGCTGGTGGCCTGTTCAAATCATTGGGCCACTTAATTTCCATAGGCCGCAATGCATGAAATTTACTCAGTTATACTTTCTTCAAACCCCTCCCTATTTACAACGTTGAAGAGTAATTCTTACCTCAGTGAATTTTTGACTGACTTCTAACGTGATGTTCGGTCTGTTCTGGAAGGACAAGTGAGTCACAGAAGGGGGGGTAGTCGAGAGTGATATACTTGAAGACTCTTTTTAAGAAGTAGGTAAAACTAAGCTGAAAATTATATACTGCATATGAATATGGTGTTCAGATTGCTGCCATCATTGTTATATTTACGTTAAAAAAGTATATGTAACATTGGTATACCAAATAGCTGCAAGTGCTTATGTAGTATTCGTCTCAAATGAACATGGGAAAATAATCTCACATATATTTAAAATGTCATTCAAACTCATAAAATAGCTAATATTTATCACAATTAGATTATTCGTCCCCAAATAAGAATAAATCTATTTTCACAATACAGTATATGCTGTGAAAAAGTCCAAAGTAAACACATTTATGCAATTTTATTTTTATACCTTGACTGATCAAACCGAAATTTTCGCTTTTCGTTGACATGTCAGGTCTTCCTGAGGACAACACAGACGACTAGCAGTAGAATGCAGGACACACATTTCATTATACTCGGGAATCATCAAATGGATATACCTTTAATCCACAATGAATGATATTTCTAAGACTCAAACTAGTGTTTTTCTTTTAAACCACCAAAATTCTAACCACCAGACCAATTTGTTTACATTTTCGTAGCATTTGAAAATGATTACTTTATAGTATTGTCAGACACATGTTTTCACTTGTATTTTCATCTTCAGTGATGTATTCAAACATACAACTGACGAATCCACTCTTTTTACTTTATTTATTTCTTATTACTCTTTAGTTATTAAGTAGTATATTAATAAAGCGAATTTCATCACTTTTGTTTTTAACAGATGTATAGAAGACAAACTGAAAATCGACAAAAGAGTTACACGTTTTGTATTACCAGTTGGCGCTACTATCAATATGGATGGAACTGCACTATATGAAGCTGTGGCTAGTATATTTATAGCTCAGGTTAATGATTTCTCTCTAAGTATTCCTCAAATTATTACAATCAGGTAATCAGTATCAATAATCAATAAGTGGATATTCTTTTTTATATCAACAATAAAGAACAGTTCAATTTAAGTTATTTATTCCATATACCTGGGTATCTGTTCCTCTATCGCTTATAAAAAATTCTTGTCTCAGTTTACCTACATGTTATTCACTTGTCTGAAGAATTCAGTTACCAACTAGGGTTACCATCTCAGTTTTCCTCCTAACAACTTTTCATATTATCTCCGGTTGTTTTATCATGTACTATATATTTTGCTTTCTGTGACACAGTCATCGTATGAATAGCAAAATTTGAGCGATTCCATGAGAGTTCTAAGTCTACACCTCTCAATCAATCCTATTACCTCTACTGCAGTAAATTTCACAAAATAGTTTTCTACAATATGATGAATTTGTCTACTTCGTATCATGAAGTACATTTTCAAGACAGACAAAGGATCACTTTAGCTTTTTTTAAATTACTATATTTTTTAACTGACTCATCAATTACACAAGTTAAAGTTTACTTTGACCCCATTCTAGGTCTCGTAACCAATCAATATCGACTTTGGGAAATCTCCGAATGTCAGAGAGCACTAGATAGTCATTTCGTTCTAGTTTAAAGCCTATCGTCAGTAATAACCAGCGGGACAAGATCCTGAAGTTGACCAACTCTATCTGTGCTTACCATTTAATGTTCACATACAGAACTAGGTAAATCGCTCGTTTAACATGGGTTTCGTCCCAAATGTGGCTGAGATGAGGTTTAGGTAAGGCGAGGGGAGGCGGAATAATCTAATATGTGGTCAATACTAATTACCTTCATTTCTGAAATCTCTTCCTTTAAAGTTATCTGTAACGGTTAAAAACGCCCACGAAAATGCCTAAATCATCTGTATGGCTGGAAATTTGACCGTCAAACTGTAAAAGCCAGGACAATTGATTCAGAAAACTATTGTCCAGCCAGTCCTTTTTTGTGGTCCTCATCCGTATATGATCATTATTCCCTTGGGTTACAAGTGAAACGTATAACTTAAACTTGTTCTCTAAAGTCCTTGTTAGCTAGCTCCACGATTTTCCGTTAGCTTTCATTCCCTACTTACATGATATTCTCCATATCATCCTCACAATCGATTCGTAAATTTCCATTCAATCGGATATCAGTCGATAGGCTTTTTTAGCGTGTGTCCTATCCATCTGCATTTCCCTCCGACTATTTTTAGTTGGCTGATTGGTTTTTTGCTGAACTTCCTTGTTACTTCCGCCTTTTCACCATCTGATTTCCAGCATGAAGCGAGTGCAGATGTCGGAGAAAGTCTGCATTGACCTGTTGAAATGATTTTGGAGACGCGTTCAGTCACTAAACCACACAGGCGCGCTTACTTGACACTAGTTTTCAAGACCCATATATGCTAATCTATCATAATCTGTATTTTTACCTTAGAGATGTTGAATTTTCAGTTTATTCATTTATTCGTTCTGTATATCTATCCTCCATTATTTCGACTGTTATTAATATTCTATAGTTGGTTTGTAAGGATTAAATTTGTTTTTACGAGTTTGACCACGGATTGATATCAGTTAAAGAACTATTGAAAACCAGGGAGTACTGGACACCTGTTTCATCCTAGTTTGGGAATCATCAGCAGTACCCACTCACTGGGGTTCGAACCCCCAGAACGTCCTGGAGTTTGAATAGCTATTTTCAATCAAGGTATCGTATACAATTCTTAGTTCATCTTCATTTACCTCTTCTGGGCATATAGCTCTAACCGTGTGGCTATGCGTTTTTCCCTAAAGACTTCATCGTTTCATTGTCAATCTGAAACCAGGTATAAATTAAAGAGAGAGCGTAAATCAAAGAGTGTTGTGAATCTTGATACAATAGAAAAGACTATGATAATCAAATGTTGATTTACGGGGATTTGATTAGTTATTGGATCAATTAGGAGCTGACATGAGTTACAAAACCCTCTGGAAAACCTAGGAGTACTGGACAGTGTTTTGATCACTCAGGTTTGAGACTATCCATCAGAACGCAACCAAAGGGGTTTGAACCCAGGACTTTAAAATTTGTCATTTAGTCTAATCTGTTGCCTTCTTCAACAAGTAAAGCCATTCGGATTGTGCTTATGGGAGCTGTTTGCTTAACTGAGGTTTTTTGAGTGTGAAGAATAAATCCTTAGGGACTTAAAATAAAGTGACTTGAAAGTGTTCACACTATGAGTGTATTATATGTATTGATTGTTTATCAAACATGAGAAGTGTGTGAAATTTGAATAATCTACAGTTTTATTGCTCCTTCTCTTCTTATTAACTGTTAAGTTTTGTCCAAGAGCTGGTTTTCAGGGATTTCATTGATTTGAAGATTGATCATGAATTGACTTCATTTAAGAAGCACAGGAAACTGTGCAATACCAGACAGCCGTTTGGCCCTTCTTTTCTACTCCTTGACAGTACGTACCCACCGTGGATCAAACTCATAACCTTCAGTTTATAAGATCAGCTTCTAAAACATTCACCAGGTACAACTGACTCCAATGACACTTCAGTTCTAAATTCTGTTGATTCTCAATATATATATCATCACCACCAGCTAGGATTATCGATAAGTGTTCATCCTCACAACCGACTTGGCGAACTTCGCTAGTCATGACTTTCCACTAGAACATCAAGCAGCTTCATCCTGTACCGTACTGTTTTTTTTGTAACTACTTATTTTTCCTACGTAGTATTCCGTCGACCGTAAGAGAAATATTTTCAGGTCTCATTGGCTTTCATGAAATGCATTTCTCTTACTCTCTCTCTCTCCCTATTTTTTATCATTTAGCCTAACGTCAACTTTAGCTGCTATTGGAGCTGCAGCTGTACCAAGTGCTGGTCTAGTCACAATGATTATTGTTCTGTCTTCTGTTGGATTACCTATCAATGATATTTCGCTTATTCTAACAGTTGACTGGATATTGTAAGTTCGGAATTATTTTTATTATTATTGTTACTACTAAAATATTTTTCATTTCTTTGCATTACAAGTTGAACATTGGGCTTCAAGGATGGGCTTTCAAGTTTTAGCAGCATTTGGATTTCTCTTTTATAAGGTGGGGTGGCTAGTCCCATGCCTAAACTTGTATCTTTTTCGGAGCTAATACCAGCTAGGTGAGGTTTATAAGTGTATTGTCCAGGGGTCGAATCCAGACTACATGGGTGGTTAACAAGCATTCTATCACTAAACTACTGAATAACTACTACTGATATTTTTTTTTACTATTAATTAAACAATGGACTGTTAAATAAATAATAAGGAAAGTATGCAATACAATGATTCTGTAAGTGATTTTTTTATTTGTGATGACATCTACATTGATGTTATCTATTGGTTAATTTATGTACTAGAATTTAAGACCATATAGAAATAGATTTCGTCAAGAACAGATATCAGGCGCAGAACTACTGAGAAATCCCAACAGCTGAGGTTAGTTGTTTATTTTTAATTTGTAACACTCTTCAGCTTTTCAAACCCACAACACCACAAAAAATCGGAACAGGAACCTTCAGTTTACGATGACGTGGGGGGAGAGAGCACTGCCATTCTGTTAATCTATGATATGTAACACCACCGCTATCTAATACCACTGGTGAGTGTCTGTCATCATCTCTTCATGGGTTTCAATAATTATTTAGCTGACGTCAGATCATGTCAAAGTCTTTGTCAAAATCAATTATAACTCCAGAATTAATTCACTTCTCGTTAGTGACTGACTTCGTGATGAAGTTCTTGAACTTCTAACTTGGTTTAGTGATCAGGTCAGTAAGGTTGGGTATGAGAATAAATACTCACCGATAGAACTGAATGGCGATGGCGTTATATGGAGGACTGACAGAAGTACAATTCACTAGTCATTATTCATTATCCATGTTTAATAAATGAAATAACTTTCAGGATAAATTATAAGAGATGACCCCTAAGTAAATTTCTCTTACTAAATGGTTTCTTATTATTTGTAATTAATTCTTAAGTCATTTTTGCAAAATTATCCGGTGAATTCACATATTCTATTTCTCAGCATCCTTACGAATCAACTAAAATAAAATATTTCATACATGAGTTTGAAGAAATCGGCAACAACGCATGGTGCTGGAGGAAAACGGATCCATGATCATTTGTAACTATTTTTTCACATTTTATCTCTTATGAACTAAAGTTGTATTCAGCTGACAAGATACAAAGGAAATAAACAACAGATGCATTTTGTCCTGCACCATGTGTTGTTGTTGCTTTGTTCAAATGAATCCTGACTGTCTCTAATACTTTTTAAACGTCTATGTCTGTTGATGATATATTCATGTGATTTAATTGTTACTGTTTACAAACCAGCTATGTCCTTTTATGAGTGAATCGCCAAGAAATTATATTTGTATTATCACACACTTTAACATCAGTCCCTTCATTAATAAGAATTCTGATTAAAACATACACTCTAATACACAACACACAGAATGTGTTTTAATGACATTCATTTGCGTTGACAGGGATGCTATAGTAATGTCTGACCATGAAAGGAGATCCAAGAAAGGCCAACTATGTAAGAGTTTATTGAGAGTTATCATCGGAAGTGATGATAACCAGTAGTCTCTATCAGCGACGCCTATTGAACACTTTCAGCGGAAATCTTCGAATGTTCGTTATGGTTTTTTTCCCTCAGTCAAATGTAAAATGATGCTGCAGGCCTGGCATACAAAGAATCCTAACCTTAAGAAGGAAAACGAAGTGGCACAGCGTGTTGATGACTTCACTTCTTTTGAAAGTTACATCAGCCTTAAGTGACTGACTTTCGACGAAATCACAGCACGGATACAAAACGCTCGTGTGGCATTTGCCAACTCACCTCATCTATAGCGCATACATGAAATCCGACTATCGGCCAGTGAAAGTGGAAGATACACAAAAGACTAGCTGTATTTCACCAGAGATGTTTGCTCTCAGTCTCCTATGTTAAATGGCATAATATGTTCAGTAATATTGAGGTTAGATGTAAAGTGCTAGGTAATAAATGTAGGTCACTTGTGAAGCTATATCGACTAAGATGGCTAAAACACTTGTTGCGCATTCCTAACCGCTGCCTTCTTCAGCGGATAATATTAGCTCATATAGGCAACTACTTCGCTAATACGGGGTGCCGCCGACAATTATACATCTCATCCAACAGTTGTATGACACTGCTACATGCCAAGTAATCCACAACGGGAAACTTACGGAAGCCTTCGAAGTTAGGACGGGAGTGAGGCAAGGCTGTCTACTATCTCCAATGATTTTCCTCATTGTGGTAGACCGGATAATGCGGCAGGCAGTGGGTAGCGAGGAAACAGGCATAAAATGGACTCACACAAAAAACTTGGAGGATCTGGACTTCACCGATGATATATGTCTGATTTCCCATAAACTGGGAGATATGCAAATGAAAAGCAACAAGCTGGCAGAAGAAGCATCCAGAGAAGTTAGGACTTCAAGTGAACATACATAAAACAGAGGTGATGAAGATTCCTGGCCAACACCAACAGCAACAACAACGACAGACAACAATCAGCCAGCATAAATGGGAGGAGCCTGAAAGAAACAACCTCCTTCACCTAACTACCTGGGAAGCATCGTTTCAACTACAGGCGGAACTGACGAGGATATCAAAGCAGCGTGGATCGGGAAAGCAAGACAAGCTTTCAGTTCTCTCAAGTCTGCGTGGAGGTCAACAGCACTCAGAATCAAAAATAAGATCCGAACTTTCAACTCCAGTGTGAAGTCAGTGCTACTCACTGTACGGATTAGAGACTTGGCGCGTCGTCAAGAGCATCTCAAACAAACTACAGACCTTCATTAATAATTGTCTTCGCTCAAAACTCAAGATCAGATGGCCGGCCAGAAATGATCAGCAACAGGGATCTCTGGAAGCGAACCAACCAGGAACCGATTGTGAAACAAATAAGCGGGAAGAAATGGAGATGGATTGGCCATACTCTGAGGAAACCATCAAGTGACACCACTAGACAAGTCATTGCTCGAGTGGAACCCGAAAGGGAAGCGGCGAGTTGGTCGTCAGTGCAAGGGTGACTTGGAGGATGTCATGTAAGGAGGAGATGAAAGCATGTGGGCAGACTTGGAGCCAGGTGAAAGCTCTAGCAGAGAACCGAACGCAATGGAGATCTGAGGCTGGAGCCCAAATTCCTGTAGGAATTAAGGGGACTAATAATAGGATTACGTTGGAAAAGAGTTGTGGTGGTCATATCTAAACCTGGCATCAATCCATGAATCATCTTACTTTTGGCCTGACCCACCCACGTAGACAGGTGTGTGCTGCCAGGTGAGGATCCTTGGGATGCTAAGAACTTACAGCCGGAGAACATTGGTGATACTGCTCGAAATCATTCTCAGTGGGGCAGATGCATTCAATCTTTGTAGTCTCCTACATCTATTGAACCCTCGTGATCTTCCATTTACCCATTCTTTCTCTTAAATAGTTCTGCTTATCATAGCTCTTTTGAATCCGTTTTCCCCTCTATTTTTTCCACATTTGTGCGCTATATGTGTAGTATGACAACTTGAACTGCTGGGTTTCTGTACAAAGTGTTACGTTGCAACTCAGTTAGTCAGTCAGTGAATGTCAACCACAAACACAAAACTACTAATTCCCCTACTTAACATAGAGAATAGTTGAAAAACTATCGATTTCCTATTAAACATCAACGTATCAGTACAATTTATTGTAATTAAGGTATTTAGTGAAACTGTGTAAATCATTAATGTCTGTTGTTTTTGTAATAGTAGCAGTAGCGGTCGTCCTGTTTGTTTTACTTTGAAACACTTAATATTGATGTTAAGATGAGGTCAAATATTCACCCATACACACTCGCATACATGTGCATACCGTTTGTATATTTTTAAGCTGAAATCAATAGTTGGAATGTATAAACCAAAATTATGGCATTTATGTTGTCTATCATTTTATATAACAAGCATCTAGAAATCTGGATATACAGGCCTAGTCTGCGACAAAAACAAATTATGGAATAATAGAGTTTTCAAGCACTGCGTAGATGAACCTGAAATTAGGTCTACTCATTCACCAGACACATTTTCCTTATATATAAGAATGGAAATCAGTTTCGACTATCATCCAAGGATTGACATCAGCTAAAGAATCGGACCCCCTGAGCTACTGAACAGCTGTTTCCCAGTAGTTTGGATCTCTTGGAAATCAGTTCAATTTGAAATTAAACGCCTCATTTCTTAAGAGAACAGAAATAATCATGAAAACCTGATATATTTTCTCTTAAGCAATATATAAGAATAGCAGTTGACAATTTGTCTTTCTGTTGACTATAGAAAAATCTGTGAATCGAATAGTGATAATGATAATAATTTGTTAAGTGTCTTGTACGACGATAACAAAAATAACGATAGTAAGGTTTGTGCAGGTGATGATAAGAATAACGATGGTTGTAATATGTGAATATGTAGACAATTCAATAAATAAATTGGGTAAAGTCTAAAAAGTTACGTAATACTTGTCTGTCTGTCTGTTTTCGACATAGAACTTTACACTGATGTGCAGCAGTTCAAGTCGCCACACTTCATAAAGTGAATTGGACAGATGATCAGAGTTCAAATAAATATCATAAAAATACGAAGAAAATGGAAAATAAGAAAGGGTGGGAGGGTTTTGATTAGAGTTCACCTAGGCCGAGGGAAAGACAAAGGTAGAAAAAACTTCTTTTGTACGTCAAGACTAGAACTGTTCTCTCGAATTTCCATAGCTTCGGCTATATGTGTAAAAAGGGTGATCGAATTCCGTTCGAAAGGCTCAGTAGAATGAGACAGATAACATTGAAGGCAATACTTCTGTCCATTTGGTGACCACTAGCATCAATCAGATGATAAAAAAGTAGAACTTTTTATAGATTTTTCTCAGCCTT